GGGCATTGACCTATACAGACCATGAACAATAATTAACGTGTGAACATAAACTCTCATCTCAGTTACAGTATGAAATAGTAACGATGGCAACTCTGCGAATGTACAGCTTTCTACACTCAGAGTAGAAGGGACTTAAGCCAAAGGGAATGGAAAAAAGAGAAATGTTCATCAGCAGGTATGCACGTAATATGTGCATACTCTGAGTTAAACTGGTGGTGGTGGGGAGCCTGTAGGTTCCCTCATTTTGGTTGATAGCTCATCACTGAAACGACATGGTTGTGGTACTCGCCAAATCGCTTTCTATTCCTGGGAAGGTACAAAAACGAAGTGAACAGGATGCTGGACAATTGAGTTTGGAACAAGCTGCTTCCAGAATGAATGTGCCAAATGTGTCAAAAGCATTTTGCTATATTTTTAGAGCCATTGTGATTTTCCATAAACACGACGGGAAGAAATGCTACCCCACCTCCGGATCAGGATGGACTGTTACGAAGTGAGAGGGCCCCCACTACAAATTCAAAGGGTGCCTGTGGAGAGCCCCCCCCCCCACTTGGAGAATGTTACCTTCCGGTGCTTGGCTAGATAACCTATGATAGGTTCAACCACTGTGCAGGAGACTGCCGAATAGTCACTTTCTCTATTGTCATGCTTGGAATGAGGTCAAGTACTGAAGTCACGATTCGGAGGATTAAAATGAAGATATGCCGATTCTACAACCGAACAACGTGTTATTGTCAACTCTTCCAAATGCTGGAAATAATTGTCATTTCATGGTATCTCAAATGATGTTCTCTTCCCTCTGACTTCTGTTTGGACCTTGGCTGTACTACCCTTGTGTCCCTGCAACAACCTGATGTGTTGCTTTCCTGGGACGAGCTGTAGGAGGTTCCTTTGCCAGGGAAAGCGATGCTCTCAGCTGTTGCTAGGATACACTTTTCATCCTGCACAGCACACATGGCTGATAGCAGCACTTTTTCTTGGATCCTCCCTCCCCTTTCTCAGTTCTAGCTTTGGTTTACGCAGTTAACCTGTCTCCAGCAGCAAAGCTGATTATTTTATTTTTAAAAAAAAAAAGCAGGAGAAAGTTGCAGTCAAAAGCGCTGCAGTGCTAAGCAGAGCTCCACAACCCCAATTCAAAATGGTATCGTGTCTTGGGTAGGTCCAGGCTTAAATTATGCTGAGGGTAGGGTAGACCTACTGAATCAACAGAACTTAGACTTGCCCCAATCGTTTCATTGGCCCTGCGGTCAATTTGAGAAAAATCTAGATTCAACTTGCTACCTCCCTGCATCTTAGTCCAACTTTCCCTTCCCCTATCCATTCAGCAGGAGCAAGGCTGGTAGAAGTGAAGACCTGGGGTGTGTTTGTTGTTGCTTTTTAATCGTAATCAGGTCCAGGTGGCCTCCCATTCAAAGTACCATCAGCTTTGCTGCTCATGCAAAACAAGCAGTGGTATACAAAGGCACAAGCGCTTCAAGTATGACAGGAGACTTCTGCCCCCACATCATCTGAAGGGAAGCATGAATCAGTAGGAGAAAACACTGGGCCTAAAGACGGATTTCTCAAAGGGTGATGTGATGCTTTTTTCTCTCCAGTAGCTGACACTGTAGAGAACTTATCACGTACATATTTTTTGTTACCCTGGGCTGTTTCGTGTTACTGGATGTTGTAAGAATTTCTGAAGTGTTATCAGTGATGTGATTTTTTTTTTTTTAAAAAAAGGCTAAAGTCATCTAGAAGCAAGTCACTTTTTGCTCAAAAACGGGAATCCACAAGTGGCTATTCCAGTAAGAAAATAATGTGTTTTGTGATTAGTGCTGAGTAAGTCTCAGTTCCTACCCACACAGAGGAAGCGCTATTCTGGGTCGCATTCCACAGAGGGCAATACCCACAACACAAAGGAGCTGACTCACGGCAAGGAACTGTATGCTCTGTCCCATGCTGCATGAGGCTTTTGAGATTCTTAGGCAGCCCATTCACCAAAGGAGCCTATGACAAAGGTGTCATAGGTCAGCACTGTTATCCACTGAATCGGAAGGCACAGAAGGAGAATGTATGCCCTCTTCTTTCATTTGGCTCCCCACGTGCATCCCTAAGCATGTGTTGCACAGTTGCCATTCATACTGCTGGGAAGGCTGAATTTGGCAAAGGAAGCCATCCCCAGAACTGGCTAGTTCCAAAGATTCATAAAGAACCAGCTAGACCTGTGCTTTTCAAAACATTCATTGGCAACGCCGCTGATTGGCTGACCTCTACCTTTCCAACACAAAAAGTGGAAACTTTTAATAATATTTTTGATGCAAGTCAGGAAACAGCCGTGTCATTAACACATGAGAAACAAGAGGGATGTTGCACAGGGCAGCAGCTGGGCCAGTGTCAACAGAAAGAGGATGCAGGCAAGCACGAAGAGGGAGACAGGAGTGTAGGAAGACCACTGATGCAGTTGGGGACTTTAGTTGCTGTATCAATATGAGGGAGTCCCACTGTCAAGGAATGTCAGTGGAGTTACAGATCTTCAGCCACAGATCAGCTGGGCCCTGAACTCCATTTCTTCTGGGGGGTGAAATCCAGGACCTTCAGGCTAACAAATTGGTATAGTTCCTGCCTAGAAGTGTGTGGTAGCTTGGGACAATGTGCATCAACCACACTCATGAAGACATTGGTCAGCTCTCACAAGGCTATTTACTGTGGCAGGGAAGCAGTCAAATGTTACAGGCAGCCTGGCTGTTCTTGGTCTTCAAGTGGTTGTTACTCCTTCAAAAGGCCTTCACTGTCCTTTCCTTCAGGCCCCGATGCTTTTGCTTCATAACTGCCTTGTACTAAGGTGTAAAATAATCTGCCCCCTTAAATCTCGACAGGCCCATGATAGCTTCGCTTTCCAAGGCTTTGCCAAGCAAGCACGACACTTTTCAATAGCAACTACTGAGGGGTAGTTTTGTATGTTTCTTCGGGCTCTGTTGCCATGGCAGCAGCACAGAGAGGCCTGCAGGCAGCACTGCCATTCCAGAGAAAGGGGCTTCCTTCTCGGCAGTCAGGAATGGCAGCTGTCAGCTCTGCTGAGAATATATAGATGGGGGTGGGGGGGAGGAAGCCACAGGCTCCTCCCTCCACCCTGCCATAAAACCATAGGGTGGCCAGTTCCTCAGGGTATCACAATGGAAGGGCATGACCCGAGGAAGGAGGTCTTTTAGGGGCTAACACACCCTCCCCTACATATATTGGGGCCTTCTAAGTATGTTCATTACAACTCTCATGAGCCACAGCCAGCAGCTACCAAGCCGTTCAAAGCATTTACAGGTTAGTCTTTTTTTTACTTAGTCATTAAATGAAGTGGTCTCTTCACAGCTGCATTTATGATCTTACTACAGCTTTCCTTTGTTTTACAGGCTGGTGAAGGTTGGAAATGTGAGGGTCGGCCATAAATTTGCTTTTTTTTTTAAATCACCATCATAACTGTGAACAGCCACTAAACAAGGACTACCTGTACTTACTCTACAGTCTGTCTGGTTCCACCTTATTTATACCCTTGGATAAAGGCCAAACTGTTGCACATCCTAAGGCAGGTGAGGCAGATACACCTTATTTGTTCTACTCTGAAGGGGAAGGGCGGGAAAGCCAGACCAAGGACTGCCTTTCCATTTTCAGAGCAGCTCCATTGCTACAGTGATTCTGTCTTTGACAGGCAACTTTTGCACTGGGTTTCGCTGAAAGGAAAACGGGTAAAGGGAGGAAATGCATAATATGGCTTTACTAGGTTTAGTGGCTGGGGACTGATCTTAACACCATTTTAAGGAGACAAAGAGTACCACACCTTTCATAGTTTTTTAGGAAATACCTGCTTCAGGTAGCACAAAGGTAGTTGCTGAAGGCTTTTCAAATGACAAAGCAGCAAATGGAATCATTAACAAAATACGCTGGGTGCCATGCGCCCATAGAGAGTTTCAGGCAACCTCCTCCTTGTATCTTTTTTTTCTCCTGGATAATAATCTCTGTCCTGGTCAGTGTTGTGGGATCACTAATCAGAGCTGGCCTTTATCGGACAGTTTGGGCAAGTGGGTGTGTAGGTGACTTTTTCTCGGATGTGTGCTTGTGTTTTAGCACAGGTAAGAGATTCTCCCGAGCTTGCTTGTGCATGGAAGGGGCTGTCTTGGTTTCCTTAAGGATCGCAATACCTACAACTACGGCAGGATCATTTCCCTCCGTCTGAGACTCTCAAAGAGTTCGCGATCACCAGCCTAATGCCAGGCAGGCTCATCCGGAGGCCATGCCCGTTCAGGTGACAGGGCTTCCCCACAGCTCCAGCGCTTCCCCCCCCCCACGCCCCCATCCAGCTTTCATCTATTTAGCGACACAAGAGTCTAGGAATAGCTCTCATTCTGCGTCTGTGTGTAGGGTGGCGGAGCTGGAGAGGGGGGGAGGAAGGAGGGGGGTGGGGGGGGAGAAGGCGGCTATGAATCAAGACCTCCATTCCAGGCACGATTCTCGGCTCGGAAAACGGGGAGGGAAAGCGGGCCCGGATTTCTTTGTGGGGGCTGAAATCGAGCCACGTGGATTATCGCCGGAGGCCTTTTCCGCCGTGGCGCGCCCCCCCCATCCCCACCCTTTCCCCGCTGCCCTGGCGTGCTACCCAGTGTCAAGGGGGGCGAGGGGGGGCGCATTCGTGACGTTGACTAAACGAGAGGCCCGCCCGGATCGGGGTGTGTGGAAAACGATCCTCAGGGAGCCAAGCGGATTTAGGCAGGAAACTCCGATCAGGAGCCTCCCGGGATCGCGCCGTGGCAGCGAGGGCTGGTGTGTGTGTGTGTGTGTGTGTGTGTGTGTGTGTGTGCGGGGGGTGTCTTCCAGGTGGATCTCTCGGCTCGACGCCTCGCCCGCCTCTCTCTACCAAAGGTGGTTGGGGGGGGGGGGCGCGGGATCTCTTCCCAGGAAAGCCCCGCAAGCCCTCCGAACTGGGCAGGAATTGACTGGAAACTGCCGGCGGCGGCGGCGGCGGCGGCGGCCGAGGGTGGAGCCAGTGGGCGGGGCTGGCAGGGAGCGAGCTAGGCAGGAGCCAGAGAAAGAAAGAGAGACGCGTGAGCGCTCGCGGCGCAGAGGACAAAGAGAGAGAGACCGGCGCCGCCCGCGTGGAGGCTGCGGCGGCAGCGGCGGTGGCGGCCCACATGGGCAAGGCGAGAGCGGGCCAGCGGGCCGGCCCCCCGCGCTACCTGATCTCCTGCTAGGTTGCGCGCCCGCCGCGCTGGGACCGAAGCCTGGGGTTGCGGGGGAGGGATGGCTGCGCCGCCGCCGTCCGGCTATGGGGCTCCTGCGAGCGATCCCTGATTTCGGCGCTGGAAGAAACGGTGAGGAGGAGGAGAACGACCTTGTTCCGTACGGGAAAGGTGGTGGAAGCGCGGCGGGGTCCGTCCTCCTAGGGCTCTGCGCCCCTGCTCCCCCCTCTTGTCCCTCCACCCTTCCCCGAGGCTCCCCTCCGCTCTTCACGTGCCGGTGCACCTTAAACGTGTCAGCCTTTAGGAGCGTTTGTCCTGCCTCTCTCTCCCCCCCACCCCCGCAACCTCCCACCCGGAGTCAGGCGACTGGGACCATCATCTGGGATTAGAGATTCGTCGCCTCCTGGTGTTTGGGCACCTGGGAGCTTGGCACGGCCTGGGAACGTGGCATCCCTTTTCCCGTGGCTGGCAATGGACTTGCCAGGTGGCGACCGGCAATATATGGGGGAGGAACTCAACGGGGGAGGGGAGGCAGCAGAGAGAAGCTCGGCGCGTTCTCGTTTGCTTGTGGGAGCGCGCGCTTCGGCTCTGCGTTTCGTGTGTGTGTGTGTTGCGCGCGTGTGTGTGTGGTGGGGATGTACGCGCAAATGTGGCTTCTTCGGGGCGCAAGAAGTCTAGGATCGGTGTGTCTCGGGCAGCTAAGAGGTGGGGTGGGGGGAAGTTTTAAAGCGTGGGTGACACCGGCACAACAGTAAACTGAACCGCTCTTCGAAGAGCTGGTCTCTATGCATCACAGATCAGGGGGGTTGGTGGAAATGCAGGCGGGAGGTGGAGGAGCCTTCCTTACATCCAGTTGCCTTCTCTGAATGGAGGCCAAGAGGTTTTCCTAGCTGTATCTTCTCCAGTCATGAATATCCAAACGCTGTGTTTAGGGAGAGCTCAAAGTTAGTAGAAAAGATGTTTGGGGAATTGGAGGTGGGAGAGGAGAATGCCCATTGTATCCCTTTTTTACTAGGAGAGATTAACCACACTGAGGGGCCTGGCTCTTCTCAACCCTCACGCTTCTTTCATCAAGACCCATTTCTGTATACAGTATCCATACCAAGCTATGGATCTTTAATTCCTCTTAAAATAGCATGTAGTCTTTTTCCGCTCAACCTGCCATTCCAGGTTTAGCTTTTGTTATGAGCCATTTGTTCTGGGCTGGCTCCAGGTGTATGGAAAGTAATGAAAGAGAAAAAAAAAAACGCCTCTGTGTGCAAACACCTTTAACTTCCAGGGCTGCACTACTACATAATTGAGGGAACGGATCCAGGAATGAGGTTTGGCTCCTTTCCTTCTCAGGCAGCATGACTTAGTTCTTAAATCAATCCTGTACATGATGCCTACGTGGTTGTCTCCCTGAAGTCACTGGGAATCGAGCCTGACTTGAAGGAGACTTTAATTGTCTATGTATGCGACAGTGGCGAGGTTGAAAAACAGCATCTTTCGCCTGAGTTTTTAGCTTGAGTCTGAATCCTTGCCAAATCCAAGGCAAGGATTTCACCACTGTTGCAGGTCTTAGAAGGGATAATTTAAATTATTCTCCGCTAGTCTCTGAAGTAAGAGTGAGGGGTAGTTAGTTCCCCGTCTTGTCTAGATGTCCACAAATCTATCCTTTACTCCCTACTCCCCAATCCAGGAAAAAAAAAATCTCATTTCCTCGCTTGCACACAAGCACGGTTAGAAAGACAGGCTTGGATGAACAAAGCTAATATGCGAGAGTAAGCCACAAGAAGACTCTGGAGCAGGGATTGAGGATTCAAGATAACTGCATTAAGGCAGCCCAGAAATGAGCTGTAAGGCACTTTTATCTCCAAAACCAGCATTCCAGTCTGACCCTATGTCAGAAGCTAAAGAGTCAAGCGGGCACACAAAGGAGAAGAAAGGAAGTTCCCTTATCAAGAGTCACCAGAAGCTCCAGCTGTAGGTCAGAAGCCTCTGTTCTGGCTGGATTGATGGTGGTCTTATCTCTCCCTAAGCCGTCTGTGTTTTGAGGCATAGATATTCAGGTAGACCAGTCTTTTGATGCACTGCTTTTAACTCCCCCCACCAGCCACAGCCATTTTCTATTGCTTCCCATTGATACCAGCCTTGCATTAGGCCAGATTCATGCTGAGGAAAAACCTGTGCCAAAATGTAGCTAAAGCATTGACATTTATGGTCATGATTTGGTGCTGGAATCTGCAGCGCCCAGTACAGGCGTCCCCTTTATTTGGGAGTGGGTACAAGGAGAGGTACTGAATTCTTGGTTTTGCGCAAATCCTGTTAGTTTCTTTTTCTCACACACAACACAGAACGATAATAACAGACTGGTTTTAAAAAAACGCATGCCTGAAGAATTAACATGTGTATAATATGTACTACTGTATCTAAATATCAGTTAAATTTAGCTTTTCTAGCCTTTTCTGTTGGCAGCAATATTTCTGCTACTTTTCTGAACTCCCAAATTCAGTAAAATATAAAAGCAGCTGGCATTGTTTTGGAAAAGCTTTCATGCTCATGACATCATGCACAACTGCCTTATTTATGCACCCATAGAATTATCATAGTATAATCCCGAGTCCACTAAAAATTCACCAAATCTTTTATCCTACAGTGACCAATGCTTTATGGCATCTCTAATTGCATTTTTTGTGTGGAAGATACTACAAAGGCCAATTAAATCAGTGCCCTTCTAAGTGCAAGATCAATTAGACACATGACCACTCAGCATATATTTCAAGGCCTTCCATGAAGGAGAATTCCACAGTTCATGTGGCAGCCTGTTCCACTGACTGACAGTTCATACACAATTCTTCCTGATGTCTAGCCTGATATGGCTCCCAGTAGTTTTAACCCATTGGTTCTGTCCTTTGGAGCATTAGACAATTAGTACAGTCTTTCAACTCCTCAGGTAGTTGTGTATTGTTGTCATATCTTCTCACACATGTCTCTTCTTCTGTAGGCTAAACCTATTCCAAACCTACTGTTCTTTATTGGGCTTTGTTTTCAGACCTTTAGCCTCCTTTGGACTTGTTCCAATTTGTCACTGTACTTTTTCAATGATGTCTATGATACAATTACGATGTCACACCATATTTTCTCCCCTATCTGTGCCTGTATATTTTATGTTCTTCTAGTCTGTTTTAATTGGGATTGTCCTGACCCCATATACTAGAGGAGAATGTTCAAAACAATCTTATACTGTAAGGTCTTTAACTTTTTATAAAGATCGAATATGGTCATAGAAAGAAGTTTTTTCTGATATTAACATCTCGTCTTTGTTTCAGTTCTTGACATTCTGTACTTAGGATGTGACTGAAGCTCTATACTTTTCCCCAAAACCGTGGTAACCAGAGCAGTATGCCAGACCAAGATTTAGATAAGATAAAGCAAAGAACAATTCAGAGTTTTTGACAAAGAACATCAAAATGTTCAATTGGCTGCACATCTGCTGTATAAAACAGGAATGTTTGTCCATCTGTTCTCTACCTATCTATCCAATTCTATCTGCTGTCTTGACGAGTTAAATGTTATTGGGCAGTAACATTTGCTGAAGGCAAGATGAAAGTTTAATACTTTGCTCCAGTGCATTGTAAAAATGAAAATAACATGTTGAAACTAATCATTGGAGAATCATAGTTAGCAGAACATAGAATTCAAAATGATACAAGATACTGTTTAAGTCCAAGAAATGTTGACATTTAAGAATTTGCTGGGAAAGAAACTGTTCTGTGTTCTGCTTAAAATGTAAAAACATTAAGTGTGTTGGTAGGGAATTCTAGAAGATGCTATCCCAATATATTTGGAGAGGTCTGAATTAGTGAAGCTGTTCTTAAATTGCTCATCACAAACTGCACTTTAATTTTAAATAACAATTTCTGAAATCTTGATTAATCAATTTAAAATTGTGTTTGTGAGCCATGGGGGCATAGGCAAAAATGAAGTACAGTAGACAAAAATGACGTGCTGAAGGCAGTTCGCATTTTCTATTTTGTGGATTAATTTGGGTTCTGAAGATTTGGGGATGCAATAGTTTAACCTCAGTGGTAATAAAGTTTGGGGTAAGGGAATAGTTCTCTTTTGATATGATTGATCTTTTTAATGCTTCCATGTAACTGTGATTAAAAGAGGCAGAAGAAGCTAGATTTTTTTTTTTTTGCAATACGCCTCTAGAACGCATTGCATTCAGTTTTGCTTATGGATGTTCTATAGTCACCCTTTTGACTTTTGTAGATACAAAAATTTGGATGGATTGGCATTCAGAATCTTTCTGGATTTTTATAGCTTATCAACAGGTAGAAAATCTATTTGGATCTATTTTTAGAATTTGTTGGATTGTCTCAAATAGGGAAACTATGGCCTAAAGATTGTGTGAGATCTTGGATTAACTTCCTAATGTGGATCTTTGGGCACTTTCCAAATTTTATCCCCTTCTGTTTAACTCCAAAGCCTTGGAGTCAGAACTTCACATGCATTTGTTTCTAACCCCGCCCACAGGTAGACTGTGGACTTCAACAGAGGTGGAGCTGATTTTAACCTGAAAGAGGTTTCCACACAGGTAGAATTTCTGCAAAGGCTTTAACTAATTTTTGTAATTGAATTTGGTAGTATTAATTTTTAATTGGCTTAGGTTTTTTTAAGCTGTCAAAAGCTATTATATAAACAGCTCTCACATAAGGGCATTTTCAAAATTTATGCACTTAATTGTGCTATTGGTTTGCATTATTAAACCATGTAATACAGTTTTAAGATGAGATAATCACCTAATTCTGTAGTAAATGTTGTGCCTATTAAAAATATTGAAAGGCATCCTATCACTTGTAGTATTAATACATCTAGAGCAGGGGTGTCAACTCAAGGCCCGCAGGCCAGATTTGGCCCGTGGGGTCCTTAAATCTGGCCTCTGGGACCAGCCTGGAAATAGCAAAGGGCAGCCCACGGTGCCTCAAGCAGCCAAAATGGGGCGGGACGGGTGCATGCAAACACCGCCCCCCCGTGGCCCGTTTTTGGCCCAGATGGCCTCCTGCAGCACTTTGCTGGTCAAAATGTGGCACGGGGGGGCACACTCAGCCGCCTCCCCCCCCCCCATTTTGGCTGACAGGATCCTGTCTCTCCCCCATGGCCAACCCACAGAGGAGAAGTACATGCTGATCCGACCCTCAAATAAATCCAGTTTGACACCCCTGATCTAGAGGGTGCTAGTTAGGAAAACAGTGAAGAAGCATGTGCCTGAGAGATTCTAAAACTAAAATCATAGAGTTGAAAGGGTCCATTTAGATTAGGGGTGTCCAACCTTGGCAACTTTAAGACTTGTGGACTTCAACTCCCAGCTTTGCTGGCTGAGGAATTCTGGGAGTTGAAGTCCACAAGTCTTAAAGTTGCCACGGTTGGACATCCCTGATTTAGATCATAATGTTCAGCCCTTTGCTCAGTGCAAGAGTCCCAATGAAAGCATTCCCATACACTACTGCTTAACCTCTTTTGGGAAGATCCTTTGGTAACTGGTTACCACTATTAAACTCTTCTTACTACTTGGAAGTTTTCCCTATCATTGGAAAATATTGGAATATGTCTTCTTGTATCTTAATCCTTTATGCCAAGTACTGCACTCTGGAGTAATAATGAATAGGTTGTGAACCACTGAATGATGTTCTTTCAGATATTTGAAGACTGCTACCATAACCTACCTCCTGCCTTCTGTCAAGACTCAGTTCCTTCAGTCTTATCATAGGTCATCATTTCTGCTCCCTTTTTCATCTTTATTGCCTTTTGCTAAACCTGTCCTACTTTGTCTGAATCCTTCTTAAAATGTGATGCCCCGAACATGAGACATTTATTACTTGAGATGGGGTTTGATAAATGCAAAGTGGAATTATTACTTCTTAAAATATGGAAACCGTACATCTGTTTTTGCAACCTAAAACTTCGTTTGCCTTTTGTTGTACCTTCTTGAGAATACTGACTCTTCCTCAGTCAATTATTACTCTAAAGTATTTTTTCACAGGGCCTATTGCCATGTTAGGAATTGCCCATTTGACACCACCCATGTTTTTGATTCCTACTTCCTAAGAGGTAACTTTTCATTTGTCTTCATTAAATTCCATTCTTTGACTTTCCAGTCTATTTGACTTTCTTTAACCTAACAGTATAAAAATTCTAGGATTTTTGTTTTCCCTCTTAATTTAATTCCCTGTAAATTTAATAAGCATTTCCTTTACCTCCTCCAAGTAATGAAGAAACATGTTGAAGTGATTAACCCTTGTGGCACTCCACTTGATATTTTCCTCCTGTTGATGCAAGACTATTAATGAGCATCCTTTGAGTATGATTTTCAGGACACCTAGCCATATCATCCACCCCACACTAGACCAAGTCCTAGGGTAGCACTGTTTTTATCAGACCATGAAAAGCCAGTAGGTTGTTTCCTGAAGAAGTGCTAGAGAAATCTTCTATTCGTACTTCACATGTGCTCCTGAAAATATGGGCTGAGAATGTCTTTTTCCAAAATATTCTTTAAAATATGTATATTTGGCTGGAAGTATAACAGCTTAGTTCTGAGCAGTTCTCAGGACAAGAAGGAAAAGAACATGAGCTGAATGGCAATGCTAACACTTGTGGGGGTTCTTCCTAATGAAAGTGTCCAAATCCTTTTTAACGCCTGTGTTACCAAGCCACAAATAGCACTAATATTCCCACTTGGGTGTAGGAATAGTACACTGAATAAATCTTGGCAATTTAGGCTTACATACCATGTGGCAGCCAGGCTTTGAGGGTGAAGCTGTGAAGTGTGTGGGTAGAAGGTTGTTGGTGAGCAAAGGAGCTGGCTGCCAATGCCGTCAGGAGAGGTGAGGCAGCATTTTCGTGCTCATAAAAAGCTCATAGCTTTGCCCATAGAAATGTAGATAGTTTCATAATTTTTTGAAGCCCCTTTTCTCAACCTGGGTCCTTGCATGCCAGAGAGTTTAGCTCACATTCTCCCTGATACTCATCATCTTGGTGCAATTAGTTGTAGCAGTGGGACCCGGGTGGAAGACCACAAGCTATCCAAGACTCTTGTATGAACACAGATGACAATGGGCATATAGTGGCGGCATAGAATTGGGTTGCGGATTTGAGCAAGGCTGACTTAACTTCCTAGGGCTGCTTTAGGTGAGGAAGACAGTGACTGAACTAAGTGCCTCTGTTCAGTTGAGCAAGCAGCTTTCCATTCTTCCCCGTATCTGCTTGAAAATGCAGAAAATACATGGTTTTAACTTATTGTTTGAATAAACTGCAGTGGTTGGGTTCACACGATGCTCTACGGTATGTTGTAAACGATGTGCAGCAGATGAATTCACACACTAGAATAATCCAGAATCAAGAAAACCACATACAGTAACTGCAGAATGTCGCCCCTGCTGTAATATATTCTTGTTTTGGGAAAGTGGGTGTTTGGACCCTGGCACAGTTGGGCTTCCTTCTGTGAACTTAGGCTGAATTGCTCACTAGGAAAGCGGTAGCAAATCTAATAGAGGCTCTGCAAATGTAAAACTTGCCTATCTCTCTTACACTGACCAGCATTGTCTGTCTGTTTACAGAGAAAGCGTTCCCATCAGCACTGCCATCGGTTCCCCAAAGCCCTAACCTAGCAATGGGAAGAAGTTGGGCTGGGTGCTGGTGTTACTGGTCATGCCAACCCAAGTATCCAAGAACTTGGGCAGTTGAAGAAAAGAGCAAAGGTCGTGTCCGCGAACCTTCCCAGCATTCTCCTTTCCTCCATCGGGCTCCTTTGGGGGCAAGAACTCCTTCTTCTTCTACTTCTACTTCTTGTTTGTGAAAGGCTCAAGAGTTCATCTTCGCATCTGAAGAGAACCATTTCCATGGCTGGAACTGCCAAGGGCTTACAGAAGACTGTTGACTGAAAAGTGTGGCAGCACGCAGACATCGGCTCCCACCAGCACCATCCCAGACTGAAGAAGGGCCAACAGGAGCACTTGGATTTCCAGTTTGTGCCGTAGTGCAGGCCAAGGGGACTGAGGGACACTTGTGGCCCCATCGGCATGAATAGGTTGCAAGGAAGGCAGCGACAATTTCGCCTGCAGAAGTAAAGCTTTCCTTGCCTCTTTGCAGAAGAGGTGGGAGAAAGTGGGATCTCCTTCATTCCCCTCCAAGCTGGAATCTGAGAAGGACTTTAAATTCAGAGCCTGTCAAGAGAAATCTCTGAGGCCCTACCCTAATTCCCGGAGTAAAGATGGTGATGTCCCACGGCACCTACACCTTCCTCACCTGCTTTGCTGGCTTTTGGCTTATCTGGGGGCTCATTGTGTTGCTATGTTGCTTCTGCAGCTATCTGCGACGCCGCATGAAACGGAGGCAGGAGGAGCGGCTGCGGGAGCAGCACCTGCGCACATTGGAAATGGAGCCCTTGCATTATGAGGGCTACGGGAGCCCTGCCTATGGGGGAGGTTATATCAGAAGCCCACCAGGCATTCCGGTGCCCCACCGACTCCGCATTGAGCCCCACCACCCTCACCACCTTCCACCCCCGAGGCCTTGGAGCTGTAGGCATGGTAAGAGCCAAAAGAAGCCCTTGTGATGACTTGTGGCTGCTTCTTAAGGGGTGAAAAGCCGGGGGGGGGGGCTTGCCAGTTTCAGTGGGAGACCAGGAAGAGCTGACACTGACTTGAAGGCATGTAATCCTCAGCCGGTGCAATACACGGGTTTTATGCTGCTGGCTTAAAACCCGTAAGTTAGCCATACTTGTCTTTTGACACCCCTGATCTAGAGGGTGCTAGTTAGGAAAACAGTGAAGAAGCATGTGCCTGAGAGATTCTAAAACTAAAATCATAGAGTTGAAAGGGTCCATTTAGATCAGTTAGCCATACTTGTCTTTTGTAGTTGAGAGATGTTAAGTCTTCAAAGGCTTAGTCTTCCATACTCCGCCTAATTTCAGTTCCTTTCTTATGGAATGGGAGGGACTCTCAGATAGTTCAAAGGGTCCTATCAGTTTCATGATGCCCTATGTGTGAAGATGCTTCTTGAAGAGGAAAGGTGGATAGGGAACTCCTAATCCTCCCCCAGCACCTCAGATCTAAGAGGACCTGGCTATAAGAAAGTTGAAGGAAAGGAAGGGGAAATCTTCCTCCCGCCATTGTTCCTACTTCATCCAGTATTGCTATAGAGAGAGAGAGAGAACTTAGGACTGGAATCTCAGTCAGTGGGCATTGTGGGAGTGTTGTGACCAATGCAACTGTTGCTTCCACTCAAATGGCTGCGATCCTTTTGCTTGCAGAACCAGACCCATCTAAGCCTCCTTGCTACGAGGAAGCAGTGCTGATGGCTGAGCCGCCACCCCCGTACAGCGAAGTCCTGACAGACACGCGTGGCTTGTATCGCAAGATCAACGCCCCCTTCCTGAGCCACGAGCAGCCAGAGAAGCAGGAGCAGCCGCCCAGCTATAAGCCCCTTTTCCTGGACCGGGGCTACGGCTCAGCCCTCCACCTGCCAAGCTCAGCCGGGCAGGGTCCCACCTGCACCAACCTCTACTTGGAGTCTGAGCACTCACAGCATCTCTTCCCAAGCTGGACAGACTCTGAACTCAGCACCAGAGACAGCTACGAGCCCAGGCCCTGGCATCTGCCCGTCTCAATGCCTTTGTTTGGCAGGACTACGGCAGTGTAGCGTGCCACATGGCAACCTATGAGGGACGCTGGTTGCTGCATGGATCTGAGCAGCCTCTTCCCTTGGCCTGTGGGGGCCACCAAGGCCCTGTAGTGCAAGCCTTCCAGACACGCCTGGGCCGCAGCCTTCACAAAGATCCCCATTGCAACTGACCTCTTTGGCCAGGGCGAGATCGGGGCTGGTCTCCCCATCTCACCCACTTCCCTTTCTCTGGGCCCACTACTGGCTCTGTTGGTGCTGACTGTAAGGGGTTGGCCTAAACTGGCTTGGCCTAAACTTTGTTAAAACGATCTTTTGTTTGTTACATTTTGACAACAATAAAGTTTGTGGAACCTGATTTATTACAAACCTGGTATTGGCTGCTTGAGTCTGTGCACAAGAAAGGCGGATGTGGTTTTTCCCTTTAAAGCAATCCACATGTACAGTGGCACAAAGTTGAAGCAAGCCCACCCAAAAAGACACAGCAGCCATTGGGACAGCCTGTTCCAGGGCAGCATTCCTTTACTACCAGCGCCCCCTAGTGGTGCCTTCTTTACCTTCATTCGACAGATGTTTACCACCATTCCTCCGTGTTCCCTTACCACATAAATGCTTGCTGGCCCACATAAATTTTAAAAATTGCACAATCCTCCCTCCCCAACCCTTTTTATGAAGTACATTTCTAACCATTTATGGTAGCAGAGAAAAGGATGCCACCAGAACTAAAAACGAACAATAAGGTTTGTTCTCAGTGGTTTTCTGTAGAACTCAGCCGACTCCTGGGGCCCTGGCAGTTCTTCAGCAATTGGCCCCCCTCGCCCCTCCCCCACACTTCTCCCCACCCCCCCACCCCTTTTTTCAATAAAGTCATCCTGGATTTCAAAGCCAGCTGCCCTGCTTGGAATCAATTTATTTATTAACATACATAAGCACATTGCTGTTACAGAATTTGTGCTTTCAAAAAAAAAGAAACAATTACTGTACGGGAGGGAAAGAAAACGAAGCATGGAATGGACGAGGAAAGAAGAAAGAGAAAGGAGAAGGGTGCCCATCCAGAGTGTCCCCTTGTCCCAGGCTCTCAGGGCCAATAAAGACCTGAGGAGAAGGGCCTGGAACAGGCTCGCTCTCAAGACAGACGGCCACGGAGCTGAGCTGAGCTGTGGGGGAAGGAACGTCTCTTGCTGCTAACATTTGCTGGAACCCAGAATGGACAGGGCTTCTGCTTCCCTGGAGAACAAGGCCTCTGGGGACCAAGTGGAGAAGGGAAGAGATGGAAGCCAGCGCCTTGCCCACGCGGGGCCATTTTATTGCCATATTTTATTTTAAATTCGTGCAAAATACTCAAAGCTCTGGGCAGAGCCTGAGTGGAGGAAAGGCCCTCCCATTCTCCCCCAAGAGCAGCACACCTCACCCCCATCCCAAGAGATCAACCCAAATGGCATAAATGGCATTGGGACAGGAGGGATCTGAAAAATCCCCCATGGGCAAAGGCAACAGGAAAGGGGTCTGCAGGGAAGCTACCAACAAAGAGGGGACCAGGCAGATTTACACATTTCCTATTTGACACCATTAGAAAAAGAGAAAGAGAGAGAGAGAGAGAGAGAGAAAGAGCGCGCACTGGAAAAAGTTACCCCCCCCTCCCAGATTTTTCTATCTGGCCGGGGTACAATCTGAGGCCATGGACCGCAGGGCTACAATATGGAGCAAGGGGGCACCAGGCCCTCACTGCGGCTGCTCCAGGCTTGCAGACGCTGGACTTGCTAGGTGCAGGGTTGAGGAGTTTGGCCTGAGAGTCAGCCTTAAACACTGCCCCCAAAGCTCTCCTCATCTTCTGGCACTGGGTCAGCATCCCAACAGGTGATGTCAATCTCTGAGGGAAAAGAAAGAAGAAGAAGAAACAAACAAACAAACAAACAAGAAGATTAGCTCCAAGCAGGGTTGGCTGTTTTTGCCTTCTCCAAGGAAATCGCTAATGCTTCTATTTCAGGAATCCCGAGAGGAGCCCATTTTATGCCTCGACAGAAGGTTAAAGTGTGTTCAGGCATTAAGAATGTCTGACTGAGCATCTACAAGGGAGATGCATCCACCAGATCCACCTCTTCACATACACACACACACACACACACCGTTGCTGGGGAAGCCGGAAGGGACAGCGGTGGTCCTGCTTGAATGAAGTAACCATGATCCACACGATAGGACGGCATTCCCAGAGTCCCCAGTCACATGAAATCCTGTTTCCATGTCTGGCCTAACTTTGTTCAGATGTTCCCTGTCTATGAGGACAAGACGACCATTGCAAGGCCTACATGCATCTGTTTATATTGCCCTCACAATTGGCCACTCTTGGAATCACAGAGCTGTAAAGGTCCACAGAGGTTATCTAGTTCAAACTAGATAAACTAAAGCATATTTGAGAACTGACCTCTACCTCAACCAAGAGAGAACTCATTACCTCAGGCTGCAGCCTGTTCTCAGGCTGACAGCTCCTACAGGTAGGAATTTTCCTTATCTCTAGCCTCAGCCTTGTACTTTTACCCCATGCTGGCTGGGAAATTCTGGGAGTTGAAATCCACGCATCTTAATATTGCCAAGTCTGAAAAAACACCAATCTAGATTCTACGTTCTTCCCATTAGTTCAACTCAGGATAGCTGTTTATCCAGCAGAGTTGGAAGGGACCTTGGAGGTCTTCTAGTCCAACCCCCTGCTTAGGCAGGAAACCCTATACCATTTCAGACAAATGGTTGTCCAATCTCTTCTTTAAAATTTCCAGCGTTTCACGCTGGTGGCTCATGCTTAACTTGTGGTTGACAAAGACACTCAGATTCGTTTCATAGGTACCACTGCCAAGCAAGGTCTACTAGAGTTTATATTTGTACCTTACATTTTTTTCTATCAAATGCAGAATTTTATATTTCTCCCATTTAAATTAATTTCTTGTTTTTTAGTATGGAATGGATTTATCTAAGACCACCTATAAATATCAGAGCCTACCTGGGGGCTTATTGTAGAACACTGGAGGAGGAGCTTTAGCAGAGAGTTCTTCTGATTGGTTAAAATCTTCATCTTGTGATTGGCTAAAATAGCCCTCGCTGGTCTGGAAGAGAAAATCAAATTGTTGCATGCGCTCTCCTGTGAAAGATGTTCACGGTGTCTATTCCTGCTTTATGAATACCGAACAGCATCCATCATCTGTGCTTGGCTGTTCCACATCATTACAATTTGCACAAAAGGTTGCTATTCATTAACACGCATTTGAAAATAGGGGAAGGCCCGTCTTTTCACAACTCTCATTGTACAAAAGTGTTGTAAAAAAATCACTAAAGATTAATTAATCCACGTGAACGGAACAAACACTGTTTAAAACTGCATAGGAATTCATCCATCTTTTCATTCATTTACAGGAAAGGAAACTCTAGATATCACTTCTCCAGTAGCAAGGTTAGCAAATACTTCCAAGTTCAGAGAAAATGATAAATTTAAACCCAAACTAACAAAACCCACTAATTTTCTTTGTCTATCATTCTATGCTTCAATCATACCTCTGGAATGATATGACGGCCTGGCTTACACCATAAGTTAAGACAACAGCTGGGCTGTCACCATGCTTCTCAACCATAAGCCACTCAAATTTCTTTCAGCTAATCCTGCCTGTGAAAGTGTACCACGGGAAGCCGTGCTATAGTAGCACCGCATGCAAGCTTTGTTCTGCTTCCGAAGGCCGGCACAGGGATTGCAAAATTGCTTTGGAGCCTTGTCAGCCTTACCTGCGTGCTTTCCTTTTGGGCAGTCTCCCCATTGGTGAGCAGTTGGGGTTCCTGGTGCACCCCAGAGGCCTCCTGCAGGGCATGCTGGTAGCTGAGTGTCATCTGATGCAGCCCTTCAACAGCAATCATGCTGGCTGGCTCCTCATCCTGATCTGCATCACAGAAAGTTGCTGGGGGCTCCGGCAGGTCATTGAAGTTCAAGAGGTTATCTTCAGGAAGGCCTGCAGAAGACGGGGGCTCCGGTGCCCCTGGAGGGACATCCACCTCAACCAGCATGGGGGCAGGCATGGGAGGCCCGTCGCGAAGATCCCACGGGGCTGGAGTGGGAGGTCCACCCTGCTGGAGCTCCCAGGCATCAGGAGGGTTGGGTTCCACAGCGGTGCTGTCGTTCTGCCACAGGTCAAGAATGTTCTCAGAGGGGGGCGCAGGCGGTTGTGAAAAACCAAAGGCCTCCCCCAGATCCAAAGCCTCCTCGCTCTGCACAGAGACTGGGGCTGCTGGGAACTGCGGCTCTTCTTTGGGAGGCGGGGCTACTGGGAAGAGAGGCTCTTCTTTGGACTCTGGGAGCACCATGTCTTCAACGGGGCCAGTCCCACTTGGCTGTGGTTCTGTCCAGTCGGGGCCTTGCCAGGCTGTAGCCCCAGGAGGCTCTTCTGCTTTCTCCACTGGTTGTTCTTCACTGGGGGGAGCCCAGTTTGTAGCAGATGCCATGCCTGTCTCTTCACTGCTCGGGCTGGAGGAGTCTGCAGGAGGGAGGAAGCAAGAGCGGGGTGGTGTTTGGAGGGTGGCAGAGGGCCGGGGCCTCCATGAACTGGACAGAATAACCAACATCCTGCTAATTTGTCTGGGGAACAGAGACAACACTGACTGTGGAGACAGGAGCAGGGCCTACCTTTTAAAGCATCCTGTTGCGTCACCTCATCCAGGGCACGCTCAATCTGCTCACCCACTGGCGTGGAAGCCGTACTGGAGTCACAGGGGCTACTAGCAGAGGCAGAGGCCTTTCTGTGTGTTTCCGTCTGGCTGCCTGTGAATGAGCCACATAGGCACTCAAGAGGGAGCGGACAAGGCAAAAGCCACAAGTCCCTGAGGCACAGGGCCCCCCATGCGTGCATACGGAAAAAGATGTGGCACCTTCACTTGAAACCAAAAGAGCTATACGACCTAACCCCATCTCCAAAAAAAAAAATACACGATTTCATAGCCGAGAACAGAAACCCAGGGTCCTCCCCGTAATCTCTCTTTTTCTCTTCCTCCTAGAACAGTATCACAGGGCAAGGCTGTCCTCCTTTTCTTTTCGCTGACAAACATGCTGGAAAGTGAAGCGGTGTAAGGCCCCACCCACCCCTTCCATTTCCTGCTTTTGATGGGGCCAGATTGACAAAAGGCAGAAGGAGCTCTGGAATCACAGAACAATAGAGAAGGGCCTGACTCAAGGGAAGGCAAGGCTACAGCTGCAGGTTTCCCTGCTGCCAGAGGACGTTTTAAAATAACAGGCTATATCCATCCATCTTTCAGCTGCTTTCGGAAGCACAGCCCCATCAAGCCATAGGAGAAGACCGTTGTGCCAGATTCTCAGGGTCCCAAAAACCCCACGCGGGCAG